GAGGGAGGTGATTCTGCCCCTCTACTCTGCTCCAGTGAGACCCCACCTGGAGTCCTGCATCCAGCTCTGGAGCCCTCAGCATAAGAAAGACATGGACCTGTTGGAGTGGGTCCAGAAGAGGGTCATGAAAATGTTCAGGGGGATGGAACACCTCTCCTATGAAGAATAGGCTGAGAGAGTTGGGGTTATTCAGCCTGGAGAGGAGAAGGCTTTGGGGAGACCTTATTGCAGCCTATCAGTACTTAAAGGGGGCTTATAAGAAAGATGGGGACAGACTTTTTAGCAGGGCCTGTTGCAACAGGACAAGGGGTAATGGTTTTAAACTAAAAGAGGGTAGATTTAGACTAGATATAAGGAAGAAATTTTTTATGCTGAGGGTGGTGAAGCACTGGCACAGGTTGCTGAGAGAGCTTGCAGATGACCCATCCCTGGAAACATTCAAGGTCAGGTTGGACGGGGCTCTGAGCAACCTGATCTAGTTGAACATGTCCCTGCCCACGGCAGGGGGGTTGGACTAAATGACCTTTAGAGGTCCCTTCCAACCCAAACTATTCTATGATTCTATGATATCCAAAGAAATAGGGTAGTTTATGCCACACACCTTTACATTTACAGTTTGAAACTTGAAAACGGAGGAAGAATGTTGGATGATTGTGCAAGAGAGCTTCCCTCTGCTAGCAGAGCAATCTCCAGGTTTCTCCCTGCAGTCCGTATTTTTCACCGTTGTCAGAAGGCAGTGTGAGGACTCTTGGGGAAAGGTGGCTGTGCACATTTAAACTGTGGTAATGCCTAGAGATCAGCCAGTCTGGATTTCTGTCATGCAGAGGCTTTGCACATGCATTGTGGCTGACTGTCCCTGCCCATGGGAGCCTGCAAGGTGAAATGCAACAGTGAACATACAAAGCAGAGGGTCTGGGTGGCAGGAAGGGGTAATAAAAACAACAGGACGTGCTCTGTTCCTGGTCAGCTGGAAGCAGCGATGCAGCTAACTGGCAGTTTAGGTGTTAGGTTTTGTGCTGCACCCAGTGCGGAATTTACTTCATACCTTTCCATCAGAGAACGAACTGTTACCCTCTTTTGAGGAGAAGCAGCAATGGTGTCTGTCAGGAATAGTCTGAGGCTCTGCATGGTAACGTTGGATTGTGTGCTCGCTTTGTTTTCCTTGTCTCTCATGTTGGGTGTTCTCCCTTTCCTACAGGTCGGCTTTTCTGGCAGCTCATATCCCTCTCTTCCTGTACCCCTTCTTGCACACAGTTAGCAAGACACGTCCGTTTGAGTACCTGCGGCTCACGAGCCTCGGAGTGATTGGTAAGCAGCCAGACTAATGCTGGAGCACTGGTTTCTTATCAAGTTGGATGCAGTTCATATTGTGGATATAGAGACCTGCACGACCAAAATCACAGGGCTCTCTTTATTGGGATCTTCTGAGCCCTGGTACTATTAACAGGAGGAGCTGCTCCTTCTCCATCAGTTGTGGAGGCAGGTTCCTCTTAGTGTGTAGGAACTGGGCTTTTCACTAATAAGAAAACACTGAAGCCTGGGTGCATTGCCAAAAATGTTTCCTGTGAGTACAAGCACCTGCAGGCTTGTTGTGCCTTCACCCTCAGCCCAGCCAGCTAGACACTGGGATGGGTGGGTGCAGACTGGGCTTGCTTTGGGTCTTTGTCATTGATTGACTTGGGCGTATTTGCCCTGTCTTCCCCTTATTCTGTTTGGTTTTCTTCTTTCTGCCCAAAACATTTCTCTCTCAATGCATAAAGTAAGAGGGTCTTAAAATGCATTTCTTCTTCCCAGAGGTTGCTGTGGCTGGCATGATCCTCTTGTGTTTGTATTACTACTGGGGGAGAGCCAAGAATGCATCCCCTTTCTGAAAAACAAACAACCCCCAAACCCAGCTTGATTACTTTTATGCTGCCAAAACACTTTTCTCCAGCCACGTGCTGCAGCATCTTTAGGATGACAATTGCTCTACCTACCATTCAGACTTAATGATTCCTGGGGAGGACACAGCACAGGCCCTATTTGAAAGGTGGGATTTTTTTGGAACAATTTACCATTTATTGATTTTTGGTTTTTGTTTTTCCTTCAAGGGGCCTTGGTGAAAACTGATGAGCAAGAAGTGATAAATTTCTTATTGACAACAGAAATTATCCCCCTGTGCTTACGCATTATGGAGTCTGGCAGTGAACTCTCCAAAACGGTACCTACTCTTTTTGTCTTAAGACTTCTTGTTGTTTATCTCTGACTGACCAGGCAGCCAGTAAACTGCAGAGTTGGCTGGTGTCCTGTTGCAAATGCTGGGGCAACTCTGGGTGGAGTTTTTACCTTTTCAAAAAACAAACAAACCAAACTCACCAAACTAAGCTGGAGCTCCTGAGCTTGGTAGTTTTGCTGGGAAAGATCTTGCTGCTCTCAACACCCGTTCCCTCCTTTGCAGCCCTGTAAAGTAACTTTCAGGGCTGAGCTGGATCAACTTTCCTCGGCCTGAGAGAACAAACACTGTAGCTACGCAGTGCAGAGGTTGGGCGGCAGCTGTTAGTGGTGGTGAAGGGAATGTTCATCGCACTGGACCAGTTTGTTTCCTCTGATCAGGGGCCCCTTTCCCCCATGAGCTCAGATCTGTGGTCAGACTGGTCCGATGACCCAGGTAGGCTGGCCACAGGTTTTAGTCTGTGTGCACTTCTCTGGTGAAGCCTGCTGGCATAGCTGGCTGAGGTTCTTCCAGAAAGTCACATGTCTCATGACGAATTGGTAGCGCTCTAGATGAAAACCAAAATCAGCTTGCCGTCTAAATTGCAGGGCCAAGGGACAGATCCTTCTGCTTCTTGTTCTGTGACCAGAGTAGTGTGGCCGTAATCCTGAGGCTGTCCTGAGCAGCCCGGCAGTAGTTGCTGTCTTACGCAACCTGCATCCAGTCATCTTGTACACACTGCTTTGTGTCCATCTCTTTTCTTTAGCCAGAGGTGCCAAGCATTGTGTAGTGTCCTGCGTTTTCTTTTGGCTTTAAACTTTCACCGAGTAAAGCATTTGCTGCCTGCTGAAAGGCCTTTCAGCGCTGGGACTGCCTTGAAAAGAGTACAGCACAAAGGCTGTCCCTTTTCAGGGTAGATAAGTTGTTTATATGCTTTCTTTTCTGCTTTCTCCCCATTCCAGGTTGCTACGTTTATTCTTCAGAAAATCCTTCTGGATGACACAGGGCTGGCATATATCTGTCAGACTTACGAGCGGTTTTCCCATGTTGCCATGATACTGGTAAGATTATTTGTTTCTTTAAAAAAATCTTTAAAAAAAGAAAAAATTACGCTCTAGCAGCCAGCTTCTTCGGCAGCTACTTTACTGCTCTCTGGCTGGAGCACAGGATGAGGGAGGCGACACTGTACCTCTCTGCTTCTGCATGTTTCCTTTGTGTATCTCTGGTTTGCGTGTCAGGAGAATGTATATTAGTTGTAATATATTGAGTCCCCAAGATAAAGCGGGTAAACATCTCCAGAGAAGAAAAAGAGTTTTCAGGGTTGTTGGTTGGATGTGAATTGATGTAATTTTATGTAAGAAGGATCACACAGCCCAGACCGTGGATCCATTTCCCTTCTCCATCTCCCACAACAGGTTGAAAGAGCAGCAGGTTGAGTGAAGGAGTAAGAGCAGGACAAGCATATACGATACTTGCCCTCGTAACTGTCTCGCAGCTATTTTCAGCTTTGGATTTCTGGGGCCAGTTGTGGGTTTTCTATGCAGTAACCCCCAGTGTTTGTCCTATCCTCCCCTTGAACCCATGGAAACTTTTTGCATCCACAGTGTCCTTTACCAAGGACTTTCACAGGTTTCCTGTTTGCTGCGTGGAAGGCCAACCTGCTTTTTTTCCTCTTTGAACCTGGCTCCTACTAGCTGCTGCTTATGATCTAATTATTGTGTTGGAACACAGAGAGAGCAGACAATTTTTGTCCATTCCCTGTCCCCTGTGAAGGAGAAGTTTGGGTACTCATAATTTTTTCATCCCAGGAGTAATAGCCCCAACTTGAGGTTTATTATCTTTGAGCTCGCCAAGGGGAATACATGTCTGCCCTGGAATAGCTATTGTCCTGCTTTTGTGTTTGGTTGGTTGGTTGTTTGCTTTTTAAAGAGCAGTCTCAGGAGAAGAAAGTGCAGCATTAAGTTAAGCGCTTTGCACTGCTGGTTCTGTGCCTAAATGTTGATGCTTTCATTGGGAATATTTATTTGTCTGTCTGTTCTCCTAAACGTAAAGAAAATGTTACCTCCTAAGTCGCTCACAAACAGCAAAATATGAACAATTGTGAGCTGATGTCCATAATATGACATGACTTTTGCATTCAAGGAAAGGATCAGCTTTGATGAAAGCGCATCTGGCTCGGGGGCAAAGTGAAGGACACAGTTAGAAAACCTGGGGTAGGGGAGGGAAGGAGACGAAGGAAGAAACCGTGGCTGGGAAGGGTACGAAAATGAAGGATGTGGGTGGGTAAAGCTGTGATAGCATGGAAGAAATCCTAGCTGTGGTATGATCCCATCATGGGGTGAAGCACTGATGTGATTGATATTCCATAGCGGTACGGAGAAAGATGAAAATGTTCATAGACATTTCTGTTCTCTATTACTTCCTTGTCTGCTGATAAGTGAGTAAGTTGTTAGCAAGTATTAGATGCTTTTAAAAGAGCAAGTTAGTATTTCCCATCCAGGAGCTGTCTGAGGAGCTTGTTCTTTATTTCGAAGAAATATTAGTATCCCGGGGAATTACTGAGAACAGGAAGCTTGCAAAAGGGCAGATGAGGGGGACCTGCCAATTGCTAACTGCCTGAATACCCAAATACAGGTGAATTTGGTTAATGAGGAAAATGGTTAGTGCTAGCCAATGTAGTTTTACAGGAAAAAAACCCAACTTGTTGGGCAGAGCTGGTTGTTTCCTAAATGTGAGGAAGCAGACTGTTAAACTCCTTCAAAGCAGGCGCGTGAAGGCATCCGCACTGTTCGCTAGGCTGGGTGCATTCAAAGGTGCAAACGTGTGCGAAGTCCTACGTGGTGTGAGAAACGGAGGCTGGGCCAGGGAGATCTGCCCTGCTCTTGCTTCCCAGTAATGGCTTAATGAGGGATGTGGCAGAAAGAGAAAATACAACTCTTGGGCGCGTGATAAGACCAGATGTGGACCTTACTGTATGTGGTGTGGGTGAGCCCAGTCCTTCGGCATGGCTTCCCAGGCTATTGTTAATGTTTTAAAAGGGCATTGAAATGAAGGCAGCGCAGAACAGAACGGGGAGTGTTGCAGAGCTTGGGAACACACCTCACGGGGTGACTCAGCCTGAGCTTATCAAAGCGTGCAGGATACGTTCGCCTTCCTCCATGAGGGGGAAACCCCAGGTTCTCTTTAATCTAGCAGCGAGTTGGACCGCTAAGCAGTCCTGGGGAGGTAAAAACCAAATAGAGATGAGACAAGCTTTCCCCGAGCTGCTGGGAGAATCCTTTCCAAGTCATGGCTAGCTGCTCTTCTCAAAGGCATCTTGGCAAGCGGAGTGCTGCGCTCCATGCGGGGGTATCGAGATGAAAGGTAATGGGCTGTGATGCGTGGGAAGCCAGAGCGAGTGATGTAATGGTCTTTCCCAGTCTCTGCTGATTGTGAAGCTGTTCTTACAAAGACTTTAACTGGTGGCACTGGCCTCTGTCAAACAGGGTAAAATGGTCCTGCAGCTCTCCAAGGAGCCGTCGGCACGGCTGCTGAAACATGTCGTCCGCTGTTACCTTCGCCTTTCCGATAACCCCAGGTAAGCATTTTAGGAGTTTGGGCAGGGGCTTCTCCCGCTCCCTTGGAAGTACAGTTCTTCTGCACAGTGCCCACTCGGGGAGAGTCAAGGTTCCTTGTCTGTCCTTACGTCAGCCTTAGCTCACTGTGGAAAATGGGTGGGTTTTTTGGTTGGTTTGTTTTTTTTATTGCTAGTCCCAGGAGCTTTTATGGTACGTGGGAGAAACAGTGACTGTTTGGGGCTTGTGCAGATTCAAGCTGTGCAGGTTACGACTGCCGGAGCTCAAATGTAGCTTGAACTAGGTACGAGGGAGGGACTGAGGTGGGAGGTACGCTATGCTCTCTCGCTTCTGCGTCGTGCGGGCTGTTAGCAGTAGAAGCCAGTAGGTGGAATTCAGTTGAGGGAATACAAACCGATTTCATGCTGATCGGCAGCTCTGCCCAAAGCCGCTGGGTATGCATTTGTTGTCTCGGCCCCTCCTGGCATCACATTGCTCTTGACTGACGGGTGTCAGGGCACAGGGGTTGGCTTGGTGGGGGTCTAGCGTGAGGGATGGGAGCCATGCTGGCTGGCCGAGCGCCACGTGCTGCGGTGCTGCTGCTTGGTGCTTTCCTTGGCTGGCCCTGCCAGGGAGACCCCCAGGCAAAGGAGCGCCGTGTCCCCAGTGGGGTTTGCTCCCCTCTTGCCCCTGTGAGTTTATTTGTTGGGCCCTGTTTCTTGTCTCTTGATGTAGGGCACGTGAAGCTCTCAGGCAGTGCCTTCCTGACCAACTGAAGGACACCACCTTCGCCCAGGTCCTGAAGGATGACACCACCACAAAGCGCTGGCTGGCTCAGCTCGTCAAGAACCTGCAAGAGGGTCAAGTCACTGACCCACGGGGCATCCCTCTTCCTCCGCAATGACTGCTGGGGGAGGTGGGGGACCGGGGAAGAAACAGCTCAGGTTTACAAAGAACCAGGAACAGGTGACCTCTTCCGCAACAAACTGGGCACGCCAGCTGGCTGCCGGCCTGTCGGACCATCCCACCCAGCCAAAGGGCTGCTCTGTAGCAGTGCAGCATGCCTCCGGGGATCGCAACACCAGCAAATGCTGATACTACAGCTTCAAAAAAAAAAAAAATCAATAAAAACAATCTGTAAAGATCCCCATCTCTCCAGGAGGCTTGGCTGGCATCTCTCCCCCCACCGCCAGGCAGGGGGTGGTGCAGATGTCTGCTCTTCCAGCTAGCTCAGCCTCCACCCAAGTGGCGTGTGACACGGGGTGTGCGCGCCACGTCCCTCCAGTTCCTTGTCACTTCTTGTTTACACGTCTGTTTAGATGAGTAAGCTGAATAAAAGCCGATCCAGTTGTTTTATCCCCTCTTAAGACTGCTGCTCAGCTGCAGGTAGCCCAGGGACAGCTTTCTTCCCTGCCAGCACATCCTTGCTCCTGGCTCTGCATCCGGCTGGCGCGGCGAGCTTCTCTCTTCCTGTCCTTTGGCGCGGAGGCCGTGGCTGGGGCCGGGCCACCACGGTGCTTGCCCCAGGAGGAGGGGTGGATTACGAGCGATGAACCCACGCGTCATAAGCTTGCTTCCCAGGGCTCTGGGGGAGGAGAAGACAGCAGGACTGTGGCTCTTGTGCTGTAAATAGTGCGCTCCTGCAGCTAACCAGCGGCCGGGGGCTAATGTGTGCTGGCCTCCCATCTAGCCCAGCTCTTGCCCGGCGGGGCTGCTGGCTGGCTCATCAAACAGAGCTCAGCGTTAGGAAACCTGCCTTGTGGTGGTCGGCAGGCCACCGACCGATGATCCTCTGCCGCGGGACAGCTGGGAGCGACATCCCGCGGGCTCCCGGGATGCCGGCGTCCC